TTTACTGTAGTGTGTATAACTATTTTTTTTCTATCATCACCTTTTGGGGCAGTAAAAATGCTCCCATTTTATACTTCAGCATCTTTGGTAGGAAAGTGAAGCTAATTGGTACTTTAGAGGGTCAAAACTTACAGGTAAACAATTCCCAGTAGTTTCCAAAAGAGTACAAGATAAAATAAAAAATAAAAATGTCCACTTGGTCAAAAGCTTAGTAGTTAATTTAGGAAGTTATTTGAAACCACCAAATAATCTAAGAAATATAATGTATAGGCATAATACTGTTTCATAGATCTCCTCAGTTCAAATTTTGGACTAAATTAGATGTTCAACTAAAGAACATCAAATTTATTTAATTTGTTGTAATTTAAAAACATAGTTAGTGCGGACTTAAAACATTTACATACATTTTAAATTTTTCTAACATTTCCAAGATATTTAGATAACATTTAAGCTACCTATTGTATTTATAACACACCCATTATAACGAATCATTCGACGCCTACAACTACAAACTACAATAAAGTGCACTGTGATACACACTTATTCACAATTTTTAAAATTTTAATTAATAGAAAATTAGAATATTAATTTTAGGTTTTCTATAGACATATTTTCCATAGGCAATCTTTCTATCCGCACCTCAAAATAAGGAAGAAGGTTGTACTTGGAAGAGGCGATGTTTCGATTTTCACAGTAATTTCCCAAAGCGTGAGGATCACTTTAAACAACTACCTACATATAATAAACCACTTGGAAAAAAAAAATTGATGAAATCCAAACAAATAACAATGTTCTGGAAAGGTTTTAATTTGCAAATAATAGTAGGTACTAACCAGTAAGGCAGTAACCATTATCATGCGTCGTGGTGCAGAGTGAAGCGAAACGAGTGCCTTCCAACCAGGTCTGATCCTAAACATGTTTAGGTTTTCACTTTAGAATAAATATACAATCTAAGCTAGATTTACTTAAGTGAAAATTGTAGTTATTACGTTACGGAAATATGTACAATGTACACTCAAAATAACTGTGTAATTATTTAATTATGTAATATTTAGGTACGTTTCATTATTTACTATATAATATTACTATAAATTATAAAACTACACAGTTAAGCTTAATTTATTAAATATATCTCATACTAGTTAATTTTAATCCATTGTTTGCAGGATAGAATTTTACGAATGACCTGGTTAAAGAAGTTTAAGCTATAGCGAGTAAAAGCTTCTTTAATATAAAGTAAAGTAATCGTAATAGAATATCAAATAGGTGTACATTCATTTAATTATGAATAATTTATTGATCTTTTTATTAGTGACGAAAGACATTAAGGCAAATTAACTTTCAATGTAATAATTGGATGCACCTGGATTATTTGAAATGAATATATTACATATGTATAATACGCATAATATATGATTCGAAATTAATTGCGCAACATGGTTTACAAGTGAGACATAAAAGCTAAATAAAACTTAGTATTTACAGTGGTCCACTGTAGGTACCTATTTATAATATAATAATTAATATTACGTATAGTACCCACGTATAAAATTATATAAATCCATTGAGATGAGAAAAATAGAAATGATAAAACAGTTATGTCGTCTCGGTTAACGTAAAAAACAGTTCAAATTTGAATTGTCCGAATGTGTAATTCGTGGTTATATTATTACATTTTAGCCTATTAACTTATTAATATGACGTCGTGTTTAATAATATTATCATTAGTTATTGCGGTGTGCTATAAAATTATATTCTCTTATCACTCCCTCTCTCTCTCTCTCTCTCACTCTTTCTCAGAAATTAATAAATTTGATATTCTTTCGATGAATTAGAGTTGATAAAACCATTTATTGTATTACCCACTACATTATTTTATTTTATGATGAATGAGGACGAAATGTTTTTCAACTAAACGCTTTCTATATTACGTGTAAATTATAATGCGTTTACTAATTTACATATTTTAGTTTATCTCTGGATTGTTGAGCCTACACGCTAATTAATACATTTGAACGATCCAAGCCAGCCAAGTTCAACATTTTCCGTTCTAGAGCACCTTCCAGCTCAGTGGCCTGACCGACTTGGACTATCTATACCCCACATACCGCACTTTTGAACCGCAGTCTGACTCGACTGTCCAAACACGATAGTGTACGACCACCTTTGAACACAAGTTATACAAGTTACTTAACTTTATTATCAGCTTCTGAAATGAGCTCCACAGCGTATTACTACCTATATAATATTAAGTAAATATTTTATGTGTGTATAGTTTATTTATAAAAATAGATGGTAATAGGACTCTACTAGCTCGGACAGTTATAGGTACATCTCGAATATTATAATTTATAACATTTGTCTTTAATATTACATAATTATATAATGTGTAACTACAAATTTGAATTCTTTTAAATATTCAATACCCGACACGACATCGACCTCTTATCTTCGAATTTTGATTACCTACAGATAATTTATGTCGTCTACTGGCCTTTTGTTTTATTTTCTATGTAATCGAATCATAGGTAATTATTACTCTGCGCATCGAATGTGATCGGTGACATGTAGCGAAAAGACATTTAATTCTGATACTAAAAAAATAACTAAGTGATATAATAACGACGATAACTGCAGCATTAAATTATTATTTTTTCTATTTACTATTTGTTTTTCACGAAATATGTCAGTAACCACAGTATAAATGGAACGAACCGATGGACATTCGGTTGGTATTGTATACGATGATAAATATTAATTTAAAAAAAATAACGATTCGCAACCAAACTACCTACCGTAAAATAAATGTACCTACCTATACCAAAAATATTAAATAAATGTATTTCAGGCTATTTCATATTTATCGAACGGTTTCTGATAATAAAGTATAATTCGTATAAAAAAATCGTTCATTTCCCCGGGGGACTTGAATACTATATAATTGTATTTGCAATTAAATAGTATTAAAGTTGGTGTAAATATAATATACAATATGTATACGGCGGCCCTGTTTCGCGTTGATTTGAAATGCTATTTGCAAACACCGTCATACCGAGGTACGGCGAACCGAGACTCGACGCAAATAATATGCATTTTAATATTTCATAAAAAATTATGCATATTCCCATTCAGTCGTTTCGAGTTGAAAAATATGGGACCGAACAAATATCAGGCCGATCACGTCTGCAGGCACTATTATAGGTAGTCGATGTTAAAATATCACATTTTACGTTCGGACCCAATTAAAAGTAACTGACCCAAAAAACGATGGTTTTCATTACACGTTCGAACAATAGTGTCGCGCACGCGCTCGCCTGATAATGTCGCGGCATGTACCTCCAGCCATACAACTACAGCTGGGTACGTGATTCAAACAAACAGTGCGTATATACCGTCGTAATTATAATAATTGTTGTGCAACAAAGTCCGTTTCCTGGGCAAAAAACAAATAAAAAACCGAGCGTAATACGCGTTCACGGATCGCGTATAATATTGTGCTGCAGCGAGCGTGTACGTCATGTACGCGGGTAGTAGAAATGCATAAATCTAATCATTAAATATTATTATTATTATTATTATTATTATTATTACGCTCGCGCGTCCGTTATGTCAGGTGTATTATTTATAGGTCACGCGGGATTTCAGTGCGAAGTACACAACAGGGTGTGGTTCAAGGCGATCTGCACCGATTATGCGTCCGTTGTTTTAGCATTCGAATGTATGTGTAGGTATTGTAATAATAATAATAATAATAATAATATCTGTTGTCTCTTGTCATAATTTACGAATTCGTGCGCGCAGCACCGTGGACGGTGGACACCGTAGGTTACCTACGCGCGTGGTGGGTCGTAGGTACCTGATACCTATACAAGTGTATAATGTGTGTGTATAGGTATGCATAACACTATACAGCTATGTGTACGTGTACCTGCGTGACACAGCGACCACCGCAACCGTAGTATCGGTAACCGGCCGGGTAAACCTGCGCAGGATGCGAATGAGGTGTACCTACGTAAAGGACTACTAATGTAATAATATTGTAATTTATGGCTGCACGTGGACCACACGACATCCCGCCCGTCCAAGGGTACGTTATTTTACGAAAACGTTCGTATAATTAATAATAATTATTGTGCGTACAGAAACGATGGTGGTGTTATATCATTATATCGTGTCGAAAAACGACCAAAAAATTAGGAAATAACGAAATAGTTTTTAATAGGTGTAATATAATAATATGTAACGCGGAGATCAGAAAAGGGTGCGACGATGTTTTGAAAAGTGAATGTACACATTGTATATACATTTTATGTGTTGTACCTTTGTACTCGTTATGGCAATGAATTACAGTCGTCGTGTGCAGTCTCCACTCCGGATCGCCTATTTCTAACCTTATATATGAGTGAATTTACAACCAAACGTAGTATGCGAAACAATAATCAATAATTAATCGGTTTAATGTTTATTATTATTGTGTACTTGTATTACGATTCGTACGTACGTATAATAGAATATTATTTAGTATCAGATTTCCACATTTCCATTACGCACCGCCGCCGTCCCGCGATATTGGCCAACCAATCTGTGGAATGATGATAATGATATCGTTCCATTTTAGGTCCCACCGCGGCCGTGGGATTGTGATTATTGCAAAAGCGGTTTATATGCAAATTACAATCTATTTATAGCTATTCAGATATTTCGGTTTTCCTTATAATTATATTTCCAATAATTATGCAATTAGCATGTACAGATAAAAACAACGCGTTACCCCTGTTACGTAATATTCATTATCGTACCTATACTCTTGGGCGTTTGCGGGAAATGGCCAATTTCGCGTCGTATAATGATCGATTTTAATTACAACATTCGATCTCGCATGTTAAATTATTACCTATCCTAGAAAATTTAAAGCGATATTTTCCAACCAAAAAAAAATTTTTGACTTCATTGTTTTGAAATAAATTAACAACTTCGTTTTTTTTTCTTAAGTGATGCATACTAACATATATTTATTTTACGTACAAGTTACAATACTACTTAATATACTATGTACTTAATCTAGACTTAAATTGAATGCTTAATTTATTTTGGTAACTAGTTTACGCCCGTGAAAGTTGATTTTTTCGTTTTATAATTTTGAATAAATATGATATGCATAATAAATATTATAAATTAATAAATTAATAAATTAATGATATAATATGCGACACGTGCCTCATTTATATCATTTACAAGGATACACTTAAACAATATAAACATTAAATAGGTTATGTGTCATGTATGTAATACATCTACTGAGGGCGTCTCCCGTTTGTCTTCAATAAATATTAAATTGACTCCTTTACCTTTAAGGTCTCGCCTAAGTTTAACGACTTACATTACTATATTTCAACATACCTAATGGGAATCGATAATTTAACTCGAAATACATTTAGCGTTTACATAAATCAAATCCGCTGAAAATGAGCTACAGCAGATTTTGAAGGAATACCAAAATTAAAACTATTCGATATTCGAATTTGGCGAAACAAAAATATTGAGTACGAATCAGAACAGTTGTGCAGATACATTTCCAACAATGACTGCCACAATCGAATAAAATTATGATATTTTTACAGAAACTAACGCGCGGAGACGCTCAGGGAGCATGGTCTACAGGAGAATAATTAAAAGCTGGATTTGTGTTGCCTGGAAGTCGTTCACTAGCTGCAGTTATCTGCATTATTCGCCACGCCGGGCGACAAGTGGCTGCAAGCGGACGTTGGTGCCCAGACAGCCGACCGCACCGGAAATGTAGTCCGGAAAGTTACTCTCCAGTATCCAGAGGACGCCTCCTCGGTTGTCGGGTGCCACGTGCGTGGCCAACCGTCCGCAGTCGTCGGCCTTCCGGGCCAGCGCGAACCTGTCAGAACCGAACGACTTGCCATCACCTGACCGGTCCGTGTCCCAAGCGTACACGTCGCCCTGGCCCCGATACCGGAAGTAAACCGTAGTCCGACCATCCGTGCCCAGGATGACCATCTTGTCGGGCTTCGGGCCCAGGTCGACGACGGTGCCCTCCGAACACCCCTGCCGAAGGTTGCACGCGTCAATCTTGTACATCCGGTTGCTGGTCAAGTACGTCAGGTACAGGGCGTCGACGCCCGCGGTCGGACCCTTCGCCAGAGCGATATAAAGCACGTCCCTCCTTCCGGTGCAGTCGTGCGTGATCGCCTTCGGCAACACCACCCGATATCCGCGATCCGCCGCCACCTCCCACACGATCACCGCCCTCGTGGCTGCGTCCGACACGTACACAAACACCCTCCCGTCATCCCCGTAGTCGGCCGTGATGTAGTTTAGCCGGCTGGCTGAGCACACCAGCCCCGACAAGTCGATCTGCTTGACTACCTGTGCACATACAATTCAAACGAAACAAACGTAATAATATTATTATTGCACCCATCGTATAATATGGCCAAATGTGAATACCGAGTGGGCGAGGTTTGAGGGGACTAAGCATCTCCAAAAGTTTTAGAGGGTGTCTCGGTCCCCTAAATATATACGATGATGGCCATATTTATCCTACTAATTTTGATTGCCTACGTATTTTCACATATTGCAGTCGATTATAAAGTTAATAGTCAGGACTCAGGAGACAAATATACTTATAGACAATTTATCGAATTTGCATTCAGTAGAACCAATTTCGTGTTGTTACTTGTTAGTTGCTAAATATTACTATAATGTTAGCCCTTAGCCTAGCCTATAAATTTAACTATTATCAAATATTAAGGTATAATAATATTAGTATTTGGTTTGTACGCTGTTAGTACTTTTACGATATTCTAATTTTTAAGCGAGTTATGTTTAGGTACCTATGTAAAATATTAAATATTTAAATATTTAAAAATTCATACTAAAACTCATTTCAAAATAAAAATGTAGTAAAAATCTAAAGTGCAAACACTGATAATGTTCTTACCTTTAAGTTAAGTAACAGGGTCATGTTCATTTTAATATATTATTAAAGCTAACAACACGAAATTAGTTTTGTAAACACACATTTTGTATGTTGTACTTTTTTTAAGTATCCCTTAAATATAAAATATTTACCTCGTGTTTAAATCACTTGGGTAAATAAATGTCTGGGTACCTACTACCTACTTATGCATCTATAATATTAATATAATATACTACCATATCCAATCGTAAAAATATTACTTATAAAAGTGTGATATTTTCACACTAAAAAGTTGAAATTTGTAAATTAAATTAATACATAGAAAATCCCAGGAACGTCACATCTATATAACAGGTTATCCACCCACCCACTCAAAAAAAAAAATGCTTCAGGACATTATTATACCAATATTGGTATCTGGCAGTCAAAATCGGTAACACTGATTCAGCGTCCGTTTGGATTTGGCTTTCGATTTTAAAACAAAATTCAGCACATCATTTCAGATAAAAGAGCCTTTGGCGTTTTTCTGTCTTCTTTTATTTCTATTATTACTATTTATACAGTCATTCACGGTTTGTAAAAAACTTTCACGCCAATTTCTATTTGTCGTTTTCTTCGACATTATAAAATATGATTTATATATTCCCTTTTTATCCGACCACGTAATGGCTGTCCCGAGCCGGCTAGCTTTATTTTCAATCACCTGTGATTCCGCAACTCACGATTCAATATTATAACCTCGGGTGTTTCTTTTTTGTTCTATCTTTGTACATGAGCGCATACGCCAGCCACTTCAGATTTATCATTATCTTATAATCGAAAATAAATACCACGATGACAAATTCGACGACCCTATTATGATTTTATAACAATTTAGTGTATTTGTCAGTTTTCGTCTTACCGCAATTAAACGACACAAAAAACGATAATATATCGTACTGTTCAGAGTGCAGTGAGTGCATAGGTGCAACTGGTTCATTTGTTCCGGAACTCAACTAACGGGGTTAGCTGGGTATAAATTGTTGTTGGGTTCGGGTTTACTAGTAGAAACCTGATTTTCACATTATTGGGTTTTTGGACTAACCTTGGACTTAAACCGGGTTTCTATTTAACTCTCATCAGACTCGCCCAAACTAACTCCCTGATTAAATTATATAACTAAGATTTATGATTTATACAAAAAAAAAAAATCTGAAACCATTTGTACATTGTACGTACCTATTTGTATTATGCACTACTGAACTATATTATCCATTTCGTTTCAACCATACCAAACCCGTACGTATGAGCCTCTCATATATAACTGCAGTAGGACACAATTATATCGAAATACTTTCAGGTTTCAATGAATACAATAATATAATATTATCGTACGAGTTATGGCAAATCGATTGTTAAATAAACACGAAATAATAGTGTACAATTATTTAATACATCGACGGCCGTACGTTACTAGTATTACCATTTATACCGCCCACAGCGGATTCCGGTTGCATATTATTATTTCATTAACCACAGATACCATATTATAATATTGTGTGAGTGGTATAGTTATGCTACACATATTACAATATAGAATATCTACTCAGAACTATGACGCGTATACTATTGTACTATATACTGTCTTGATATTAACAAAACAGTTCGAAATTATACTTTCACTCGAATACAACTCAATTAATGGATCGTCAATAATTATTGTTGAGTTATTCTGTTGATTGGCTTACACTGTCGAATATTCGGCCATCTTCATCAAACGTGATAAATGAGTAGGTATTACTCGTTTAGCAATATTATTATTATTGAGAACACTTTTGGCCGAAGAGCGATTTATGAGTTTGGTCCTTCAGTGTCTGCAGAAAGCCGTTTGAATGCTATTACTCACTATTTCTATTAGGAAAAATACGACGCCAAAATAGAGTTTTACGTGATTGGAGAAACGCAACTGCAGAGCAACAGTGTCCCGGAAAGAAAACAATTATTAAAAACCGAAATTTAATTTTTTTCAAACACTCACACACATGTACCTTCGTCATCTGCGATGTGAATAAAAATATATATTAAAAATATGTTTGATGATGTATACCTATAATACCTACCTACGCGTAACAAACGAATAAATAGTTTAAGAAACTGCTTCAATTTCTCAACTCCACAACACATAATATCGGTTTACTTCTCATACATTTTTTAAAATTAATTGGGTCTTTGTAGTTACACAAAAAACCTTTAACTTCTTCGAAAAACATTACGACATCGGTGGGTTGCAGCTGGTTCTTTATACGGTATAATAATAATAAACATATTGTTTGAACGTGTGAGCTCAAATTTATAAAGAACGTACATAATAAATATTAAATAATAATATTATAACTTATATTAGACGTATCTTGTTCGTATCGTTTCACGTTTAGTGAAAATCACAAGTGTATTATTATATGTATACCTCTATTGTATTAAACCATACGTCGTTTGTCGTCGAATTTGATCATTAATCGTATATTTCGCACGAAAACGTTGATTCGTAATTTTACTCGATATATTATTAGACCATATAGATTTTTAATGTTATTATTATTATTATTACCTACTATTATTTAAAGCGGAGTATTCTTTTATAATGATAATATTATTTGTTATATTGTATTATTATTAATACTTATACCTAATTACCGTGACAAAATAACGAAATACGTAAAGGCACGTTGTGACGCGACCTCGGACACACGAGAGCATAATATAATATATCATTATCACGATACATGTTATAAATGAGCCGTGATGGAAACGAGCTCATTGATGTGCGCAAAGTGTGAACTAAAACAGTGACCAGCGTGTAAACGATACCAGATTCAACTATCTCTGATTTATCAGTCAGATATGCATTAGTGCTAAATCGAGGGGTCGGATAAAAGAAGATCCTTGTCTCCCGAGCCGTTTGCGCGATACCGCATTGTTATTTATTTTAAAAAAGTTCATAGGAAACATTTTTGAAAAAATGAAAATTTTCGAATAACTTACCATCGAGAAAAAATAAAACAAAAGTAATGTTATTTTGTATTCATCATTCAATAAATCATCATTCTATTTTAATTTTAAAATATTACTGAATATTAAAAATCAAGACGTTATAAATTATGTTAATATTTATATTTTTAAAGTATTATTGATTGTAATTGGTGTTTGCATAGTAAGTTATTTATAGTAAAAAAATATATTTATGTATTAAATGAAAACCAAATACATCTCACTCCTAAATTTAAAAAAGATGTATTTTTTCATATTTTACAGGGAAGACTGCAAAATAATATTATAGATATAACATATATATTATATATATATAAATAACCATGGTCTAGACCCTAGAAATGTCAATTTATAGTTGTTCTCCTCTTCAAATTAAATTTCATGATCATCTAAGTTGACCATTTAAAATAATCTAGTAATCTGGGTGTGGCACTACAGCGTACCATTTTACTTTCGATAAGGCATTTTCCTCAAAAAAAAAAATTCAATCAAAAGTCCACCTAAGCGATTAAAATATTCGGCTCATAATATATATCACACGATCCCTACATAGGTCTCGAATATTGGTAGAAGCACATTGAGGACTAAACGAATTCTCGTCCGGGTGGCAAATAATTAAACTAGAAGGACCAATCCTGGCAAGCTGCTGCAGTTCGAGCAGGACCATTTACTGCAGGTTTCTACCTAGGATCTCATACGTATAATATATAGGGTTTTAAAATTTCATGAAATTTATTTTCTTGTAATAGTTCATGCTGTTTCATGACATTTTCATGAAATATTTCATTTCTATGAAAAAGAAAATTGTTATTACATGTATATCTAAAAGTTTATAGGCGTCAGCATGTATGTGAAGATTTTTAAAAGTTGTTTTATTATATTTAAACAAAGAAAATATGTATCATATTATATTCATATAAAATATAATAATAATATAATTTATAATATAACAAATTTTAACATTTTTACTCAGAAGTCACAAACTCTCAAGCCAACTCAACATCATAACATATTTTAAAACTCCTATAAAAAATGTTTGATGTTTTTTAACAAACCTAATTTATAACCATTAGCATAATATTATAGTAATTTGTAAACCTTAGTTGTTGATAACTATTAACTGATAAGTTATTCATCATCAATGTTGTCTTTGTGTAATCAATTTACTATTTCTAATCATCTATAAACGAACACGTTTAAAAGAAGAAAAAATATTTTTCATCGTGTCATTGAAATATTTCAAGAATAGTGAAAATTTAAATTTTTAAATGTTTCAATTGAAGTATTTCAAGTGAAATATTCAAATTCAAAACCTATCATGTGTATGTACCGCGTATATATTATATAATATTTATTTTATTATTCTACGCTAATTTTGTAACGCATAAATAATAGTAATATTGTACTCGTACTCGTTCAA